CCGTCGCCGCCTGGCGGCGGCGCCGCCGGCTTGGCGCCGTGGGGGGAATTCCAGATGCCCGATGTCTTGTTCTTTGTCCATTATGGGGTCCCCAGAGGTCCCGACTCTTTTCGGCGACGCTGGGGGGTGGTTTGTAATCTACGGTACTGGCGTTCAACGTTTGACGCCGCCGGCGATCCAGCATCGGTCGATGTTGAACGATCTAACGTTTCGGAAACGGCCGAGCGTTCAAGGTTGAACGATCCCCGTGGTGTCAGGAACCAATGGCGGGGTCGGATGGGGTCAGCACGAAACGAACCCGCTCCGTCGTTGGCGCTTAGGGGTCACCACGTTACCCTCGTTGGGGCGCAGCGGAGAACGCTGTCGAGGTCCTCGCCCGTCCCACAGAGTGCGGGTTGCAAACCACACCCCTTGCAAACCACACCCGTCGGAGTCGCCGAACTTTCTCCACAGGGCATTTTTTCGCCCCAGGCCGTTCTTGGGCGGCCCCGGGGCCCAGCGAGGGCCCGCATACGCCGACAACGACAAAGTACTCCCGTCTTGTTTTTTAACGCATTGTACCCAGATTATCAGATACTGGATCTGTTCGGACGCGATTGGTAGTGACCGATCGTGACCGATTCCAAAATCGCTCGCGGCCGATACCGGCATCTGGAGCAACATCGGTAGCGACCGACCTCTTCGACCGCGGTCAGAAAATCCTGACACCCAGTGATCAGGGTCGGCCACGCGCAGATGAGGGTAGTGGAATGAGGGAAGGCTTCTTGGGAGCACCCCTGCTTCTAAGCAGGCGCGGGCCTTCTCTGTGGATGTAAGGCTGGCGCCTTTTAAGAAGAATAATGATAATAACAATAAGAAGAAGCAGCAGCCTCCTTCTAAGAAGCCTTCCTCCCGCCCCCTACCCCCGTCTGCGCTCCGCCAAGAAGGGGTAGTGAGAGGGCGCAGGCCTTGCCAGAGGGCGGCGGGGCTTCTCACAGGCTCTCTGGCCTTCTCGGCAGCCCCCTGTGTCTTCGGAGTAGGCTTAAAACCGTCCGAGAATGCCGGAAGCCTTCTGAGGCCTTCCCCTCTCCCCCTACCCGTAAATCGGGCATGTCCCTCTACATGAGGAGTATTCAAGAATAATCAATAATAGTCAGGGGTGTTTTTGATACAAAAAACCATATATGTGTATATATGTATATATGTGTATATGTATATATATATGTAACGAACTACGGCCCCGCTTATGATTAAGAATCCTTCCCCCGAAAAGCTGGCCCGGCGTTTCTTAGCCAACTTGCCGGAAAGCTGGCTCAGTTTCTCAAGGGGATTGGTAGCCTCCGGTTCCGGTTCGGGCGGGTTCGGTTTCAAAAACCAACGATTCTGGTTCGGATGGGGGAACAGGTATAACCGAGTCGGCAAAATACGCATCATAATAATAATTCGCATTCCGAAACAGCGGTATTCTGGTACTCATGCATTGTTGCACGGGTGGTTGCACGGGTCTGCATTTTTGCGCGGGTACGTATACCGTTTCTTGCGGCAGCGGTTGAGGAGAAGGTGTAGGAGCAGCAGCAGGGAGGAGGAGCAGGAAGAGATGAGCGGGAGGATGAGATAAGGAAGCAGAATTCTTTTTGTCTTTCTCTACTGCTTGCTTTCTCTATTATTTCCCTCCTCCCTCCCCGCTTTGCCATCAATCATCAGCCGACCTTTCAGCGGCACCTGAAATTGACCGTTTTCTGAATAAATGGTTTCGGCCAATAATTAATGGATTCATTCATAATTTATGAAGCATGAGTTCGTGAATAATTAAGTAATTCATGAATTAAGTAATTAATAATGAATTAATAAAGTAATATATACTTGATTAATTCGTTGATTAATTAATCCTCCTCCAGCCCGAACCCTGAGGCCGAGCCCTGAGCCCTGAGTCCTGAGCTCGAGCCAGAGCCCAAGCCCGGGGCTGGAGCCCGAGCCGCAGCATTTGGAACACAAAATCGTGCATTTAGGTTTCACTTCCCTCGACGCAGGGCTGTTGACTGCGAATTCCGTTCGCAATAGCATTTGGCAAACAACTCGTGCATTTAGGTTTTATTTTCTTCCGTGCAGGGCGTTGGCCGCGAAAACCGTTCGCAACAGCATTTGGCGCGCAAAATCGTGCATTTAGGTTTTACATCCCTCCGTGCAGGGCCTTTGACCGCGAAAACCGTTCCAAACAGCATCTTATTCGCAAAACCCTGTATTTAGGTTTTACTCCTTTCCACGCAGGTCCGTTGACTGGGAATGCCGTTCGCAACAGCATTTGGAACACATAATCGTGCATTTACCTTTATTTCCCTCCGTGCAGGGCTGTTGACGGCGAATTCCGTTCGCAACAGCATTTAGCAAACAAAATCACGCATTTAGGTTTCACGCCGTTGACCGCGAACACCGTGTGCAACGGCATTTCGCGTACAAAATAGTGTATGTGGATTTCGTTTCCCTCCGTGCGGGGCCGTTGTCCGCGAATGCCGTTCGCAACAGCATTTAGCACACAAAGTCGTGTATTTAGGTCCTGCTTCCCCCCGCGCAAAGCCGTTCACTGCGAAAACCGCTCGCAGCAACATTCGACGGCATAAATCTTCGGTTTAGGTTTTGCGTCCCTCCGTGCAGGGCCGTTGACCGCGAGTGCCGTTCGCGTTTGGCCATTTGTGTTTTACTTCCCACCGTGCATGGCCGTTGATTGCGAAGACCGTTCGCAACAACATTCCGCAACACGTCAAATCAAGTTTGACTTCCCTCCTGGCATGGCCGTTTACCGCGAATACGTTCGCAGCAGTTATTTGCAAACAAAGTCAAATGGTATTAACAACCTAATTTGGCCTGGGCCCGCCCAAGCCCGAAGCCCGAGCTCTGAGCCCGAACCCTGTGCCCGAGCCCTGAGCCCGGAGTCCTCCCGAACCCTGAGCCCGAGCCTTGAGTCCGAGCCTTGGGCACGAGCTCTGAGCTCTGAGCCTGAGCCCGAGCTCCGAGTCCGAGCCTGAGCCTGAACCCGAGCCCGGGGCCCGAGCCCGGGGCCCGAGCCCGAGCCCGAGCCCGAGCCCGAGCCCGAGCATTTCATTCGTTTCGCAAGTTGTCTGAATTTTTGTTATTGAATCATATTTCTGTCAGTTCGCAAACCAGGCGTATAATTGAATCCTAGTTTCTGAACCAGGCGTATCTAGCGCAAATGATGCATTAAAACATACTTCCGGGGAAGTTAGGCAGAATGAGTTTGAATATTCCGATTAGTTTGGCGATTACATGGCAGACACCTTGCGAGTTATTAATAAAACGTTGAAACATAGTGGTAAATGTATTGAATAATACGAGAATGGTTTCCATCATAATTTCAACCTGTGTTGACATTGTCGTCATGAGCGGAGCTATCAATTCTAGACGCTTCGCGTATCCCCACCAGTTGTCACTCGTGTACTCCTGCACTGCGGCATCCCAGACCGCTGGTCTTCTGCGCGCAGGCGCATCTCTCAGCAGTCGTTCGGCGTTTACCTTTGCCGGTTCGGCCTCAGGCTCACCCTATCTGCCGCGGATGCGTTTTCTGAAGCTGCGACGGTTCGCTGGCGCTGTCAGAATCCCCCTCCTTGCTGGACGACGTCAGCCAGTTTCGGTCTGCTCATACCCGTCAGACTCCCTGGACTGACTTTCTCGCACGGAGTTCGGTTCCCACCACCACGCGGTTGTCTCGGCACGACCACGACTGGGAACGTACTGCGCGCCATTTTGGCCGCGCCTGGCTTGCCCCTGGGTGACTGACTTCTCAGACTCCCTGGGTTGCAGCTTGCACGACCGCCTCGGGTGACTGACCGCTCAGACTCCCTGGGTTGCAGTTTGCACGACCGCCTGGCCTCTCAGACGCCCTGGGTTGCTGCCCCCCCCCGCCGCCTGATCCGCGGCCCCCGCGCGCGCCCGGGAATTTAGTCGCGGCCGCAGCCCGACCGTGACTCCGCCGCCGGCGCTTCCGCCTGCGGCTGTAAAAAAATGAAAAAATATCCCCACCAGCCCCACCAGGCGAGTTGAGGTGATCAGGGAAGTGCAGCAGCAACGAGGAGGACGGCCGAACCGTGCAAAGGAGTGAGGAGGAGAAGGAGGAGGTGGATGGATGGATGGATGAGGGAGTGGGAAGAAGGAGGATAAATAGGGTGAGGAGGAGGCGGAGGAGGAGGAGGAGGAGGAGGAGGAGGAGGAGGAGGAGGAGGAAGAGAAGGAATAGGAACAGGAAGGAGGAAGAGGAGGAAGAGGAGGGCAAGCACAAGGGCCAGAGGTCTTTTGGATGCCTCTCGGAGCCTCTTGGAGTATCTCTTGGGCGATTCTTGGTGGCCTCTTGGGACGTCTTGGGAGTCTCTTGGCGATCCTGGGGGGCTCTTCGGGGTCTTGGGTGCCTCGGGGGGGGGCCTCTTGGGGCCGCTTACGGTTTTTTTGGGGGCCTCCTGGGGGCCTCTTGGGGGCCTCGTGGGGCTATCTTGGGACCTCGTGGGGCCTCCTGGGCGCTTCTTGGGGCCATCTTGGAGGAGATCGGTCAACGAATGGGGATCCCTCAATTAAGGCCCCCCCCCAGGAGGCCAAAATGGGGCCAAAACCATGGTAACATCAATGATTTTGGCTTCCTCGCCGAGGCCGTTTTGGACGCTCTAACTAATCGCGCCCCCCCCCGTCCAGGTCCAGGGGAGGGGGTAGGGGGAGGGGTAAACCCCTCCCCGAAGGGGGAGAGGGAGGGGTGGAAGAGGAAACGCCCTAAACCACCGACGCCCAGAGGGCTGGTGGGATTAATCATGTACGTTCTTGGTTCCAAAAGTTGGCCCAGCGTTTCTTTAAATGTTTGATGAAAATCTGGCCCAGTTTTCTTACTTGATAATTTCCTAGTTCTATGTTTGAATGTATCTTTCCCATTCTAGAGAATGGTTGGAATGTTCTGCATTTTTCGTCAAATCTTCCTGTAGGAGGACACGCCCGACCTAACCCTAGCCCTTCGTGCGCGCCGCCAGCACGGGATGCCGAGGTCTGGTTCGGCGGCGCCGACGTTCTCGCGCCCGGGCAGCGCGCGGAGGCTCAGCGGCCCGCGGGGCTCCGCGCCCTGCTTCTCAGAGGCCGGTCGCCGCCGCTGGCCACCGCGGCCGCCGCCGGAGGGCGCCGGCTGAATTTTTTTCTGTTATGGGCTCGTTGTGCACCACCACCACCACCAGAAGTTGGAGGGGGAAGGATGTGGAGGATGTGGAGGAGGAGGAGGAGGAAGAGGAGGAGGAGGAGGAGGAGGAGGAACCTCCTCCCCCCCTACTTATGGTGGTGGTGGTGGTGGGTGGTGGAAAACAAGCCCACCATTCGGGGTTCAAGAGATGGGGGTCGATGCAAACGGGGGTCAGTCAGAACGCCGGACCTTGCAGGATCCTGTAGAGCCTGGTGTGCATCTACTGGGGTTTGGGCGCAGGATCTTGCAAGGCCTGACTGACCCAGGTCTGGATTTACCCAGGCCAGTAGATCCTTGATTCTTCGCGCTTCGCGTATCCCCACCACCCGTCTGGCGACCGTGTTCAGCGGTGCTTCAACCTACTGATTGCGTGCAGCTGTCCATGAGCCTCAACTGCCCCGTGAGTGAGGGTTCCTGGTTCAGCATCGCTTTCACCGTGTGCCAGGTCGTCGGCTTGCGGTTCTCTTCCTATCGCAGGTTCCCTCCGGCGTTGGCTTTTGGCCCGCTGGTTCTACCTGCTCGTCGTCCGGCTTTGCTGGGCCTCTCTGGTTTTCTCCCCTTGCATGTGCATCCCGGCGTTGGCTTTTGGCCCGCTGGTAATTATCTCGCTTGGCATCTCGCTTGTGCCCCTTGGCGCTTTGGGGTTCTCCCCTCGCATGTGCATCCCAGCGTTGGCTTTTGGCCCGCTGGCAATTATCTCGTTTGGCCCCCCAAGCTTACTACGCCTTTTCTGGCACCGGTGCACTCCGGCGTTGGCTTTGGCCCGCTGGCAATTATCTTGCGTGCTGCCCCATGCTCGATACGACCCGCTCTCTGGAATCGTCCTTGGAGCCGCAGATCAAAAAATATCCCCACCAGCCGCTTCGCGCGGCCCACCCTAGCTTTTCCTGGCTTTCGATCTGCTTCGCGAGCCCGCGAACCAAAACAAATATCTCCACCAACCCATTCAGCAACGCTGGCGGTTTTGGAAGAGAAGAGAGATCGGGCGGGGCTAGGCCGATGATGGTTCCGTTCCAGAGTATTCTGGAACGCTATCAGGGCGTTTCAGAAAGCTCTGGCAAGGCCGCGCCGCTCCAGACATCCTTCAGAGCTGCTGGCCCAAAGAGATGCTCGATCTATCTTCACCCGGTTTGATCCTCGTCTTAGTTTCGTCTCAAGGAAGCATCGTCTGACCATCTGCGCCCAGAGGGCTGGTGGGGTCCTGGCCAGGCCGATCGGGGGCCCCACCTTCCGCGTCGTGGAGCAGGCGCCTGGGCGGGAGGATGTTTGCCGTTTTCGGCCTCCGGGGGCCCTCGCTGGCCCCGGGCCGCCGCCAAAAACGATTCGGGATGGAGCGCTGGTCTCGGGGAAGGGGTCCAGAGTTTGGACCTTTCCCCCAAGACCGTGTTTGTTCTTTTCGTGGCCTGCAGAGGTCCGGATTTCAGGCCTCTGGGGGACCACGATGTGAACAATCGCGACGGCGGCTTTGTCTGGGAGTACTCCTGCACCGATCCTGGTCAGGCCGATCCCAGTCTGAGGGTTGGTGTGTGTATGTGCCCTTTCTTCGCCGGGTCAGGAGGGCCTGGCTAGGGTCGGTGTGCTTCGCGCCCTCCGACGCCGCCGTGGCCTTCTCGCAGTTTTTTGTCGTTGTCGGTGCTAGCGTCGTGGTCGTGGCCGTGCCGACGAGAGGCCTCCGGGAGGCCCAGAAAGAAACGAAAAACGCCAGGGAGGATCGCCGCTGTGTCGATTGGCCCCCTCGTCCGAGTTTGTCTTCAGCCTGCCTTCGTCTTGGGGTTGGGGTCAGCAGCAGGGGTATGATAGGCTCAGGGAGGGATGCATCGACCCTCAATCGCCCATTGATCGCCGACAGGGTCCCAATTGCCCAGACCTGCTCAGGAGCGTGCGGACCCACTATCGGAGGCCCAGCGTCAACCTGTCGGTGAGGTATCGCCGACTGCAAGTCAAGTGTTCCCTGCCTGAGCTGGCTTCCCCCGCATGATTTAGGATGCATTCCTGGGGGGATCACTTCAACATCGGTGCTGGCATATCCGTGGTCGAAAAACGTGCCTAGCCTGGCATAACACCGTCTAATCCGGCGTAATCCTGCGCAACCTGGCGTAATCCTGGGCTCAATCCAGCTTGATCCGGCTTACTGGCTTCCTCGTCGGGCCTAAGAGTTGCTGGTCGTTCTTACGATGACCTGTGAGTTGCTTCCAACGATGATTGCTGCCCCTCGAGGGGAGGGTTCGGGCGGGCGAGGACGGAGAAATCCTTCCAGAGCGTTCCAGATCGATCCGGAGCGCTCTGAGGTGGCCGCGGTGCCCGGCGCCCGATGCGTCCTCCAGACCCGCCAGCTCTCCGAGATCCCCGCTCCATCCTTGGGTCGGGCCTGGCTCAAGGTTACCTTTTGGCTCAAGGCTCAAGGTGGCTCAAGTATACTCAGGCGAGAGGGCGTGAGCGGCCCTGACATGCTTACAACTTTGCATCTCTCGTTCCAGATGGCGTCCAATGACAAGTCCGGAAAGAAAAAGGCGGATTCGGGAACCGGTTCGAGTCCGAAAGACAAGAAATTCAAGGCGGAAGAAGAAGAGGAGGAAGTAGTGGATGAAGGTATGGAGGGAGGGGATGAGGACATGAGCGAGAAGGAGATGATGAAGACGATGATGAGCATGATGAAGGAAATGAAGAACGACGTGAAAAACGAGGAAGGAGGTGAAAGAGGCGAAAGACATGGCGCAGCAGGCCAAGTACGCCGCGAGCATGGCAGAGGAAGCGGTGAATAAAGTCAAGGGGGAGATGAACATCATCAGGGACAGCACTTAAAAAAAGGCCGACTTACCAAATATAGTGAAAGATATCGTGAAGGAGCATGTGGGGGGAAGTGGGAAACTTACAGGTCACGTCAGTTACACACAGCAGGAGGAGGTGCGTACGAGACAGGTAGTTGCCTTAGGCTTTGCCGCTCACGTGGAGGCGTTGAATATCATCGCTGACATCGAGGGTAAGTTGAAGACCTTGCTCGGCGAAGATACCAGCGCGAAGGTAACAGCACCGAAAGATCCAACCACATTCGCATTGATTACCTTCGACTCCGTGCCGGAGAAAATCACCTTCTACAAAAAGCTCCGGGGCGTTGACAGCAAGGCGATGTTTGGGAAGGTATTCTTCAAAAACAACCTGACGCGTGAGGAGCGAGCACGTGAGAAAAGGCTTGGGCACATGAAGCATAATCTTTCTGATCACGACAGTTGCAAATATACAACAGTTAAAATCATCTGGCCAAAAAACATTGTCGCAATGAAGGATGGGCAGGGTAAAGAGAGGAAGGTAGCTTGGTACGACGAGGAGGGGAAGTGGCACACAACAGCGACAGGAAAGGCAGCGGAGAAGGCAGTGGAGGACTCGATGAGGAAGTGGCTGGCGAAGGTGAGCCGGAGCCGGCCACGGATGGCGAGGGAAGCGAGTGACCACATGATGGAGCGCGCGGCTGGGACACGTGCGCAGGGGGAACCAGTACCAGTTCAAGGGCGGCTTCTTTCAGGGGGGGAGGGCGTGGAGCACTCCAACACGTAGGTGGCGATTTTCCGATATCATCGCTTAAACACTCGCTGGCGGAAGGCTCGAAGTTGCCGCCGATGGAGGAATTACTTAATTCAGGACATGAAGAATTACGCATTTTACATGTCAATGTTCGAAGCTTGATTTCTGATGATCGGATCGCTGAGTTCCTGAAGGAACTTGACGGGGTGATGTGGGACCTGATGAGTGTGAACGAAACTTGGAGAAGAGAGAAAACGGAATTATTCACGGTGGGTGGTGGTCATGTGTTTCTTGGATGTGGCTGGGGCGGCACTGGCCGAGGCGTCGCACTTCTGGTGAATAGGCGGTGGGCGAACTGCATCCGTAATTTTACACGGCTTTCGAAGAGAGCGTGCTTCGCAGATATAGTCTCTGATTCTCTTCGTGTTCGTTTTGCGTCCGCTTATTTTCCGCAGTCTGGCTGCGCAGACTCCCACGTGCAGCATTTGTACGGCATGCTGTCCAAAACACGCAAGGAGGCCAGAACCAAACGATTCCGATTCGCTCTTGCTGGGGATTTCAATGCAGAAGTGGGCGGCAGAGAAGAAGGTGATGCACGACGCACTCTCGGACCTCATGGGCTACGACAGGCCAACGCAAGAGGGCAACGGTTGAAAACATGGGCGTGCACGGAACGACTGAGTATTGCGAACGCGTTCTTTTCGAAAAGGCTTATTTTCAAAATCACGCACCACGTGGCGAATGGGAACCAGCGACAGATATATTATATCTTGATCGATTCAAAATGTTTGGGAAGCTTGACAGATTCTGGAACAACGCAGTGTCTCAATAGGGGGAGTGACCACAAATCTGTTTATCTGTCTATGCGCATAGGCCACCGGACGCGTCGAGACAAGTAGTCGCAGAAGCCGGCTGTTGATTGGTCATGTGTTAATATTTCTACATATGTTGTCAAAGTGCGAGAAGCTTGTGGCGATTGGACTGCCCCAGAGAACGCGGATGCAATGTGCGATAATATTGAAAGCTTAATGGTGGATGCCGCCGGCAGGGCCCAAGGAACTCATGGCGACCCTCGGCCGAGAGACCGCGGAGATGCCGATCTGCAACGTCTTTTGGAACAGAGAAAGACAATGACGAACTCTTTGTGGCGAGAGGAAGACATTGAGCAAGCAAATTTCCAAAGAGGCCCGCGCAGTGCGAAGAGCCACTTCGACAAAACGAATTCACGACATCTTGGAATCGTTTTGAGATGTACGCCAAATCCCGAAGGTAAAAGATATCAAAAGGAATAGCTGGATTTCCCACAGGCACGATCACTGACAGGAAGTCGATTGCAGATGTGTTTGCCGACTTTTACGCGCTGCTCTATCGCGAAGATGATTC